ATTTGGAACTAGTCGAACACAATACCATATGTGTTTTATGGGTATTTTGAAATTAAATGAAAAAAAGTTAAATAGTTAATTTTTTATGAGAAATTTGATACTTTTTTTATTATGTAAGACGTGCCTCAAAAACCATCAAAAAGGTTTATCCGATGTTGTAAAATCCTTTAACTTATAATTTCGATCTCAAAGCGAATAAATAATTAAAGTCTTAAAACTAGTTTCCTTTTGTAACACATTACTTGGACCATCATTTTTTTATTTTTATTGTTCGTTATATAGACTATCTAGTTTTATATTTTCAAGCTTTTATAAATCTACTTGATCTACACCATTTTTAGGGCTTTAGATTTCATAATTAAAGATGGAAATAGATTTTCAGGTTATTATAGGAATTCCATCAGGTAAACTATATATTCCAATTGGAGGTGTGCATTCAATTATTTGAAGATGATGTGGTTTATAAATCGTAAATATCTATTTGGTACAAGTAAGTCACAATCATTATTGACAATTGGAAAAAGTTTATATAATGATGCAACCTTATAATGTAGAACTACGGATGCACCTCAAAAATCCATCGAAAAGGTAGTTTTAATGTTGAAAAACCCTGATCATCTTGACATCGAGATGTATGACCATGGAAAATAAAAAGATTTGAAGTATTAGAAATAGTGCACATTTTCAAGATTTTTATATGTTTATAGATTTATTTGATTTTAACCATTTTTGAAATTTAAAATTTTATAAGTAGATATAAAAATAGATTTTAAGATAATCCTAAAAATATTTTATATCAAAATTATATATCATGATAAAATTTGAAGGTGCATCTTACGTGTACAGTTAGTTACATATGCAACCGTGTGCCAATTGCACCATAGACCAATTATACGAGAAATTGATTGGATGGGGATGGTCAATAATTGGGCATAAATCTCCAAATAAATTTTTTTGAATATTGTAAGATATTTTAATAGACAGGACGCGTATGGTACGCTCTCGTCCTACGCTCCTCACACAACGATAGTGTGGACTTTCCTTCCTCACAACGAAACCCTAACCGAGTGCAAACCACGCTTACCGGCAAAAGCCGGTCACAAAACATCCATATCCTGAACGTTACCGACATCTGCCCATTCAGCCAGTTGCAAATCAAACTTAAATCCATCAAAAAATTCGAAAAGTGCGCAGCAGTTCACCGTCTCTATAGGTCACAAAATCAGCCACATTTGAAGTGCAGTTTCCTCCCGCACTTTATAAATTCGCATTTCAGTACCTTTTTCGTTCATTTTTAACAAATCCTCAAAAACTTTCAGATCGATTGAGTGAGAGGGAGGGAACATTGGGATGTCCATCTCAGTGCTCATTTGCACAACAAACCCTAGAAACTTAGAGAGAGAGGATTTCCACATCTAGCAACCTGAAATTTAGAGAGAGAGTGAGAGAGAGGAGGCATGGGAGTGGCAAACAGTCGTGAGCGCGAGGAACTCTACGATTCTTCATCGGAAGAGGAAGAAGAACCAGAAGGGACAGAAGAAGAGGAACCAGAGGATTCTAGGGTTTCTCCTTTGAAGAACAAAAGCCCTAGCTCTTATGGTTCTCCTGCAATTGAAGATATTGATGCGAAACTGAAAGCCCTTCGCCTCAAATATGCTCAGAAACCTGTGCCAGAGAACACAGTGAAGCTCTACTTCCATGTCGGAGGGAGCACCCCAAAGGCCAAGTGGGTCATCTCGGATAAGATCACCATTTACTCTTTCGTGAAAAAAACTGGCGGTCCAGACTCTGATTCCGATGAAAATGACAAAAGAAGTAGTAAAATTGGGAATGATGGCGCAGCTGAAGGTGAATGGATCCTCAAAATTGGGTCCAAGATTCGAGCTAGGGTTTCAAACTTGCTCCAGATGAAGATGTTTGATGACCAGCATCGAGCCGATTTCGTCTCTGGCGGTGTTTGGGCCCTGAAATTCTTCACTGTTGAAAGTTACAGGGCTTTTGTTGCAAGGTATCAGAATTGCTTGTTTGAGAACACTTATGGGTTGGAGGCAACTGATGAGAACAAGATTAGGGTCTTCGGCAAAGACTTTGTTGGGTGGGTGAAACCGGAGGAGGCTGACGATTCATTGTGGGAAGATGCAGAGGATAGCTTTGAGAACGTTCCCGTAAAGGAACAATCATCTTCAAGCTTCATGGAGCAGTTAGAGGAGGCGGTTGATGGTGGTTTGCAAAGCCTTGCATTGGGTGCGCTTGATAATAGTTTTCTGGTTAGTGGGTCTGGTATTGAGGTCGTAAAGAACTACAGTCATGGCATCCATGGAAAGGGTGTCTCTGTTAAGTACAGGGACAACAACGGAAGTCGTTCCTCTTCTTTTGTGACCCCTAAGAAGGCTTTGTTGATGAGAGCTGAAACCAACATGCTTTTGATGAGTCCCTTTAGCGAGGGCAAACCGCATGCCAAAGGTCTTCACCAACTTGATATTGAAACAGGAAAGATTGTAAGTGAATGGAAGTTTGAAAAAGATGGGGCTGATATCACCATGAGAGACATTACAAATGATAGTAAAGGTGCCCAATTGGACCCATCAGAGTCTACTTTCTTGGGATTGGATGATAATAGGCTCTGCAGGTGGGATATGCGTGATCGAAAAGGAATGGTTCAACAACTAAATACCCCTGTTTTGCAATGGACAGAGGGTCATCAGTTCTCAAGGGGAACAAACTTTCAGTGTTTCGCAACAACTGGTGATGGGTCGATTGTTGTTGGGTCAACGGATGGGAAGATTCGCTTGTATTCAACGACATCAATGAGGATGGCAAAGACTGCCTTTCCTGGGCTTGGGTCGCCCATTACCCATGTTGATGTTACTTACGATGGGAAATGGATATTGGGTACTACTGATACGTATTTGATTCTTATATGCACGGTGTTTACTGATAAAGATGGGAGGACAAAGACTGGTTTCAGTGGTCGCATGGGTAACAAGATTGCAGCTCCGAGATTGCTGAAGTTGACTCCTCTTGACTCACACCTGGCAGGAGAGAACAATAGGTTCCATGGAGGGCAGTTCTCTTGGGTAAGTTTCAGCTTAATATTCAATCCAATCAATTAAAAATTAAGTTGATTAGTGTACAGTGCTTGTTTAGGTTTACATGCTTCATTCTTACATAATTCTAGAAATGTTATCATTTGGTTCTTTCCTTCTGTGTCAGCACATTTCTTTCCTATACCTGTGATTGATATTGTGCTTCACAAGTTTGTTAGATTTCTGATTGGTATTAGATGTTGAAGTTTGAGGATAGAATTGCGCTTTTATTGTCACTTAACAGATAGTCTTAATCTTCATGGCTTACATGCACATGTCTTGCTATGTGGCAGTCCTGTTTCCTCGAGTTTTGGCTCTTTACTCATTATTGTACGATGTCTTGTAGCAAGATCCTTCTGTTTTCGGTCCTGCCTTCACTATACAATGTCTTAGTTTTGTGTAGAAATTCACAGCTTTACATTAAACCAACTCAAAACCTCACCTTTTGATGCACAATTGTCTTTTTTCATCATCCATTCATTACTGTAGATATGTCATTCAAAATGATTGAGGCAGCCTTGTTGGTAATACTACATGAGTTGTGAGTGCTTGGTGTTTTATGCATTTTTTTCATAGAAGCGACTTCAGTTATTTTAATTTACACAAAACATGTTATTATGTAAATGCCTAAAAGGATGTAATTCGTGCCATTATTGTAAATAGTAAATAAGGAGTGTTTGATGCTTGTTGCCAAATGAGCTGATGAAGTCATTTTCTTTTCTCATACTGTAAGAAGGTATTAGAACTAGTTGAAGGGCTGTTCTGAAGGTGAATAACCCAGCGCTTCATCTTACTAACCGAAAATCCCTAAGGGGTGTCTGTGAGAGGAGGAGGATGTAAAAAGATAATTCCATTAGAAATTGCATTTGAAACACTGGGGAAACATTGGCTTTGGGAGTGAATGTGTTACCTAAATTCAAATCCCTCCAACTAAGGTCTCAAGTGATTGTCTTTTAACGGTGCAGGAAAAAAATATTAATGGCTTTCCTTCTCTGCTGCAAGGGCAGTGCATATGCACACAGTATTGACCATGAAAATTTATCACAGGTCACAAGTCACAACTATGTGTTGATCTTAAGTTTTTGGCTTCTCCATTTTCTTTAATGAGATGGAGATAACCGAAGTCATTGGACGTCATATTGTTCACTTGTTACTAAAAAAAGGAGAGATTGTTCACTTGTTATAGAGACGCATTCAGTCTTCATGGGATATGCATAAACTGGGCAAAATGGCAAGTTATGCCCCTCACAGTTTTATTTATTTATTTTTAGTTGGGGGTGGGTGAGGGGTATAAAATTTTCAATTAAAATACTGTAGAAACAAAATACAATCCACGAAAACAAGAAAGAAGAAACAAACACAAAAAAAAGAGACAACCAACTACAACGCAAAGATATATGTGGTTCGGCAAGGGCCTACGTCCACGGGAGATGAGAGCTTCTTTACTGGCAATGGAGAATAGGGATACAATAATTCTCTTTTTCTCACGCCTCTCTGTTCTCTTTGATTACAAAGAAATCAACGTTTTTCCCGTAACCCTAAAAGAACCCCCATTGCTACAATATATAGAGTCCCATACAAATTACCAAAATACCCATGTACGGATATATATATCGAGTCCCAGATAGATGGTACAAATTATCGAAATACCTTCTGGGCCTCAAGCCTTTTGGGCCTTCGGCCCTCCGAGCTTTTAACGGCCCTTCGGAGTTGTCCTTTTGACTTGACCTTGATAGATCTATTTCTTCAGAATACAAGACATCAATCCTCAACAAAAATATGTTTGTTGTGGCTTAAGTTCAATTTTATTATAAGTTATTGAAGACATTGCACGTTATATATGTAATCTATTGAAGGAACCCTTTTCTTGTGAAGAGAAGTGGGAGCTTCACAACTCTTATGTTTTCGTGGCCCTGATTTTTATGCAATCCTTGAATCTGTTGTGATACATCTTGTTACCAAAAGTAATCTACATCCTATTCTTTGATAGTGGTTATGAATTTTGGTTTTGCTTAGTATTCCATTGAAGACTTATATTGGTTAGTATTTCACCAAACACTTAAATATACATTGACAAAAGGAGAAGTACACAAAGACCATTTACTTTTAGTACAAGGAGGTCACAATTACTTTTGTCCTTTAGATTTCAAATTAGGTGGTTGTGAGCATGTCATTTACTAGATTCAAATGTTCAAAAACAAATATTTCTTGAACTTCGTGAAACACCCCAAGCCATCTAATGGTTAATCGTGACTTCCTTGTAAGAAAGATAAATGGTCTCATAGTATACAATCCCTTGACAAAATATTGTACACATATAACGGCCAAGATTTATATATTGAGATGTTTGTAAAGCTTGGGTGTGAAAACATGCATTTTTGCATATCATCATCATCGTCATCCTCAGAGCCTTTTCCCAACTCATTGGAGTCAGCTAGATGAATTCTAATTTGTCATTCTACTTTATCAAGGGCCGTACCCTCAGTGAGGCTTAAGTCCCTGGTATCTTTTTTCACTACTTCCGATCATATCTTTTTGGGCTTACTCCTTACTCTTTTTGAGCCTTCCTCTTGAACTAATTGGCACCTCCTAACAGGTGTTGTACTGGGTCTGCGCTGCACATGGCCAGGTCACGTAAGTCTACTTTATTTTATCTTATTGCCTATTGGTTTCACACCCAATTTATTTCGAATATATTCATTTCGAATTCTATCCCTTGTCTTGCAACTCATCCATCTCAACATCCTTGTCTTAGCTACACTTATCCTATGGGTATATTGCTTCTTGACCACCTAACATTCCGCCCCATAAAGCAAAGCTGGTCGCACAACTGTCCTATAAAACTTGCCCTTCAGCTTCAGTTGTATGCGGTGATCACGTAAAACTCTCGTAGCATAAGATATCAAAAATGCGTTCTTTTTTGTATTTCTTGGCTGTCAATTTTTCCTACTTTCTTGTCTTTATTCCTATTATTACTACATTTGCATTTCATATACTTTGTCTTAGTGCGGCTAATTTTAGAACTTCTAGGTTTTGCATATCTTTTCTACAAATATAAGTATAAAAAGTTAATTTGTTGTGTGCATGTTCACAAATAGCGATGACCTTTTGTCAGTTTTTGATGGAACACTTGCTTTATGATTTCTTAGTAAAATATGGAACACTGGCCATTTTATTTTTTGGAATCTGTCGACTGTGGAACACTTGCCGAATGTTTATTTAAGCGACAAAACTTGGCAAAGAAATTGACTGTTTGGAAAAAAAGATTCCAAGATTATGTTATTCACATGGCAAAGTATTCCACAATGGAGATTTGTGGCTGCTTTTAAGGGGTGCACTCAAATGCAGTTGAATGACACATTGAATGTAGGATTATATGATCTGAATCATGGCAACTTGTGAACTTATGAGAACCTTTTTTATTTTTTATTTTTATTTTTATTTTTGGTAGTTATTATGTGCACTATTAATCAATTTCTCATTTATGGATGATCTCACTTATGAACAAACAATTACATGTATGGGTACTCAAGTGTCAACATGAGTGTTGCATTTTATCAGTGCATCTTACATTTTTCTGATTCTGAGCATACCTGTGCCATCAATTATTGATGGTTTTGGAGCTTGGACTACTTTTGACCTGGTTTGAGTATTTTTCTGTACCCAAATGCACATGAACAGGTTTCAAATTCTGTACTGGCTTTTATTCCCTTGCTGCAGTAAGGATGCTGTGACATCTCATTTAAGGTTTGATGCTTTATAGAAAGGCATTGGGATATGAGAGTATTTTGCCACAATTGACCTCTTTGAGGTGGAGAACATGGGAATGAGTTAGTCCAAACAATTATTGGAAGTGGACAATCTAGACATTTGATTTAGTAGGGTTGCAATTCCCAATGTGCATCTGATGAATAAAATGATCATGACATTTAGACACCTTGCACCTTACTGAGATTGACTCGTGGACTGCTACGTCTGGCAGCTACTATAGAGAGAAGAGTTTTTGTGACTTGGTATTTGCATATCTAACCACATAGAAACCAATAGCAAAGTGTATCATTATTTCTAACGTCTGAGACTCCAATAGTGCCTACCAGGAAATCTTTTGCTGATGGTTGATGTTCATGCATCATTGACATCTGACCTGCCTCTTGTTCTCAAAAAAAGTCTGATTAATGTAATACATGTTCTAATCATCCTAAAAAATTGTAGTTTTGGTTCTAAATTGTCAGAGCTTCTGCATCTGCTAGACTGCTACTTGGTTTACTGCTCTCCTGCTGCTTGTTATGCACTGGATCAGTCATTAGAGGAGAGTCAGCTACCCTAGAGGTGGAGTCCCATTCAACAAGTGTTACTACTCTGATTCTAGTTTATCATCATATCATGTTTCTTCTCTTACTTTCCTTTTTCGTTGTGGCATAAAACATCTTGGAATGGAAGTATTTATAGACTCCGCACTTTGCCCAATCATGTTACTCGGTAATTTCCTTTGGCAATATTAGTATTTCTTCTGATGCTTTTTTCTCATAATTTATTTTGATATTTTGGGTCTGCATAACTGTTTTTTTTTATAATTTGGTTTAGATTTTCTCCGAGATCATTATCCAAATACTGATATTTACAGTTGAAATGTGAATCTGATGCCCTTTTTCTTTTCTTTTTTTCTGTTTGGATAAATAAATGTTTGGTGTTATTAATAAAATGTGACGTACATAAAATAGTGAGTGCATTTGGTAGCTATATGCGTAAATGCACTAGGAAGTACTTCTGGAAGTGCTTTTGAGCTGTCTCAGAAAATTATTTGGGAAGATCAATATGATGCTATTACTTCTTAAATAATTATCTGATTTGCATTGTATAGTAGCTTTTGCAATTCATATGGATTACCTTACTCTACATGGAGTAGATTTTACTATTTTATGTAATATCTTTTTAGAAACTAATTAATGAGTGTACATTTCATGACATGGAAGCTGAATGTGGGGATAAGGCAAGATCTTCTGCTTATATTCCTTGAGAGGAGGACATGGCTGATGGCTTATCCAAGGAAGCGGTGGTCTCATTGATTGTTCTCGTCTTGTTCCTCTTCTTCCTCCTCATTTGTGTCATTTATCTCTTATGTGTTTAGTCCCATACTTTTCTTTTATATTAATCAGTTACCAGTAAAAAAAATTTCCTATACATTAATGAATTTGTCACCTTTTCTTCAAAAAGAAGGAAGATATAGTTTTTATAACATCACATGTGATGTTCTTTCTATTTTCTTGATTGTTTTGCCTGCACTTGATTCTTTAGGAGCCACGGCTGCTGGAACTCCCATATTGTTCAAAACTCTTGGTTTTCAGATGAGAGGTTGTCCTGCATTCATGTTCCCCTAGGGGTCCTGCTGAATGCTCCTCTGCCTAATAGCCCACTACACTCTCCCATGAGGCATATATACTTATATCACCCGTTTATCTGTATCGGTTTTTTTGGATTGTACCATCTCCCTTCTTTCCTGTTGTGACTAGAATTGGATACAGCATTTGCTTCTTCCAAACTTTCCTGTTGTCTCATTCTAGCCTGGTCATGTCAATGACATTTCATTTTACATATTGAAATTCTTAAATTACTTTTGGTATGTTCTTCTAATGAAGGTTTCCATGGTCTTGCATGGGGAATTGAGGATCGTACCTTCACCTTCCTTATATTAACTTAGTGTCAAGCCATTGAACTAATTACTGCAAAGCTTACTGATACCATTTATATTTCCTAATTATTTTAAAACTGGTATTCCCCCTAGGATTTTTAGCTACAACATGGTCTTAAGAATTTGCTACGGTTTACAAACTGACCAACTTAACTAACCCAACTTAACTCAATTTATGGATTGATTCAAGGTAGTGTTTACTTGTCATGTTTTCTTTTGTGCCTTTTATGTACCCCCCAACATTAAACTGTTCAATAGGTACAGGTTCACTTCTTGCAACTATTTCTGTACTTCTGCTGTGCTTGTGCCTCAGAGAGCTTGAGAGAGAGAGAGAGAGAGAGAGAGAGAGAGTAGTTGCTTCTTGATGCGTAGGTTAGCATGCGAGGTCTTAGTAGTTACGTTAGTAAGTTTTCGGTTTCCTATTACGTTTAAGGTAAGGTTTCGGAACGGTAAACGGTACCTAAGTTAGGTTAACTATTACGTT